GGCTCCCTTATATTCAGTCACCCAACCAATCCGGGACAGTATCATGCGTGACCTTTAAGCGGATAGGTATCACGCACCACTCTAAGTGGGCAGCACGAGCTGTGCACGGGTACGGAAGTCTGCTGGGCCAATCCCCAACAGGGAAGAGGGGAAAGGGTGGTGAGCAGGAAGCAGGCGCCATCTTTAGGGCGTTGTCCAGCTAGAGTGGTGCTCAGCCTCAGCTGTAGGTCGGGCCCCCACAATGAGGTATCACCTCACACCAGTCAGAATAGCTTCTGCCCAAAAAACAAGAAGTAACAAATGATGAAGATATCGAGAAAAGTAACGCCTCCTACACTGCTGGTGGAAATGTAATTGGTGCATGTGGAAAACAATATGGAGGTTCTTCAAAAAACTAAAAATAGAAATAACATGACCCAGCAATTTCACTTGTGGAAATTTACCACAAGAAAACAAAATCACTGATTTGAAAAGGTATATGCATACCTATGTTCATTGCAGCCTAATTTACAATAGCCAAGGTGTGGAAGTAACCCAATTGTCCATCAATAGATGAATGGGTAAAGAAGATGCGGTACATTTACACAATGGAATACTACTCAGCCACAAAAAAGAATGAAATCTTGCCATTTGCAAAAATATGAATGCACCTAGGGGATATCATGCTAAGTGAAATAATTCAGATAGAGAAAAACAAATGCCATATGATTTCATTTATATATGGAATCTAAAAAATAAAACAAACTGAAAAGAAATTAATGCAGAAATACTGAGAACAGACTTTTGGTTCCATAGGGGAATGAGGTAGCAGATGGGTGAAATAGGTGAAGTAGATAAGGAGGTACAAACTTCAAATTATAAAATAAATTGGCCACAGGAATGAAAATACAGTACAGAGAACATAACCAATAGTACTGTAATATCTTGGTATGGCAGCAGAGGTAACTACACTTACTATGGTAAGCATTTAGTAATACATATAATTATCAAATCACTATGTTGTACATTTGAAAACAATATAATATTGTAATCAACTATATTCCAACAAAAAAGTCTCAAAAAATCTTTAATTTAGTCCCTTTAACATATTATCTTTTTGATGTCATAGTTTACATCTTTTTATTTTGTGTATCCCTTAATTATTGTTATTCACAGTTAATTTCAGTACTTTTGTCTTCTAACCTTCATACTAATTTTAGTGATTATTCTATCACCTTTGTTATCTATTTGCCTTTACCAGTGAGATTTTTACTTTCTTAAGTTTCCTTGTTACTAGTTAGTACTTTTTCTTTTCAGATCAAAGAAGTCCCTTTAATGCTTCTTGTAATACCTGTGTAGTGGTGATGAACTCCTTTAGCTTTTGCTAAAACTCTAAGTTTCTACTTTAATTCTGAATAATAACCTTGCTGGGTAGCATATTCATAGTTGGAAATTTTTTCCTCTCAGTACTTTGAATATATGCTACTTCACTGGGTAACTTTTAAAAATTAAATACACTTAACTGACTCGGAGTCATGAGACAGAAGGATGACTAGACCTACTTAAGACCCATCCAGACATAAATACTGACTTTCATTTTAATGGAGATACTAGAGAGACTTAGTTGCTCAAAGGTGTCTCCTCAAGAACTCTTCCCCAATTCACCCAGTCACCAAGCACATTATGAATTTTACATTCCTTTTGCACTCAAAAATCAGTTTTTATGACAACCTTTGTTAATTCTTTCTGCAAATATGTGTTAAGTGCTTGTGATGTATACAGGAGGCAGTAGAACATAGTGGTTAGAACCTAGGCTGGACTTCAATGGACAATGTCTGATTCAGCTCAGGTACATGGAGCCTTGCAACTTTGGTTAAGCTTAACCTCTCTAACCTTTGTCTTATTCATCTGAAAACAGATGTATTTTTTCTGTTTTTGTGTATTCTATAGAATAGTGTATTTCTATATGCAGCTTATTTTAAATGTTATTTTAAAGATTAAATGAAATAATGAATTTAAAGCTCTTAGCTCCTGAATTAAGAGCTTACCCAGTGTAGGTAAATGTTAATATTATTTATTATTATTACTACTATTACTACTATTGTCCTGTGCTTTTTTGCTGAAGCAGAAACTAGAGATATAGAATAACCAGTGAAGATCCCACAGAATCTCCTAGCCTTAGAGGAGAACATATCACACAGAGATGAAATGTTAAATAATCAAACAAGTAACCCATGTGAGACTGTAAAATCCAGGAATAGGAAGCTCATAGGTGGCAGAAGAGTGTAATAGTTAAAACTAAACTCTGCTGGAGTCAACTGCTTCTGTTCAAATCCTGGTTCTACTACTGGCCATATGTGTCATCTGAGGCTGGTTATGTTATGTATCCTCTCTGTGCCTCTATTTCCATAAATGGAAAATGAAATAATAAGAATACAACCCTTGTAGGGTTACTGTGAGGAAATGAAGTAATATTTGTAAAGCTTACATCACAAAGTGTTTAATAAATGTCAGTGATCATTACTTACTTCTTTGCATCCAGCTTAAGACCTAGCCCAATGATATGCTGCAGGTATTTGTTTATTTGCTAGAATGGTATGAATAGCAGATAACAGCCCTGGAACAACAATGTCATTAATTTGTAATGGAAGGGAAAGGAAAGGAGTCATTATAGGCTATACAAGTAAAATGAATGCTTCTGCAAATACCCAGTTTCTTCCATTTTCACCCTAAGAAAAGGCGAGAAAGCAGTTTAAAGAAAGAGGCAGGACATATTGAATAGCAGCTATAAAGCTGTTAATAAGGTAATATGATAAACCAAATGTGTGCATTTATATTGAGCATCCGTGCCCTTAGAGAGTAGGTTAAACTTGATTCAAACTCCCAACTTCTTAAGTTCAGTGGTGGTCCCTGAGCATTCTAGAACTCCAACTACCTTTACTCTGTGTTCTTCAAGCTGTATCCATTGTCCTATGACATGTTCATCACGGTTTCTTGGGGAAAATAAAAGGATGGGGGTTTTTCATGGTCAAATAGCTTTGGGAAACACTGACAAAGTTAAACAGATTTCTCAGAGGTTCATTTATTTATAAATCTCCAGGAGAGGATGGGATGCACACGCGGCACTCCCCCCAATGTATATAACTATGGAATTCTTTTTTCACAGAAAACCTATCAATACCTTCCATTACCCAGAAGTTTTTAAGATGTACATTCCTAGGATTATACAGCCACAGGGACGCAGGACTCCAGAGGCCAAGTTCAGCTCTTCATGTGACAACCTTGGACTGAACTGGAAGCAAAGAGGAATTGTCACTGAGAACCGCACTTCAGAAAATACTTTGATTTTTTTTGCCTTTCACAGGTACTTTCTGAGACAATCAAACTTACACCACGGCCACAATACACAAGCGTTCTTGCCAAAAAGTCATGTTCGTGTATCTTAGAAAACCTTATACGACAACTGGCTGCTGTTGTCGCTGTTTCTTTGGTAATACAGCCTGAGAACAGCTCCCCCTTGCTTGGTCTGAAGTGTCTTTCCCAAAGGTGAAGCGCGGAGCTCACGCACAGTGCATTTCGCCTCGCCTCGGCCGGGCAGCCAGGCTCCAGTTGTGCAAGGTGGCTGATTAATAGGTAGGCAGTCTTTCCCGTCTCTCTTGAGAGGGCCTCTTCCCCACCCGCGAGCGCAGCAGCCCGGCGGGTTGTCGCTGCCGAGCCCTGGACTGCGCTGCCTGGGTGGCTGCTCTCCACAGTTGCTTCGTGCGTGCAAAGGCATGCTCCCCACCACTCAGCAATAACCAGATGAAGTCCCCACGGACTACGGTGGCCCAACTCCCGCCCATCCCTGCTGTGGGAATCAAGCTTCTCCCGGAGAAAACCCAAAGAATCCAGTTTAGAGAAACCTCCCCAGTCCGCCTCTCCCTCAAAAGAACCCTGGAAAACCGGGAGATGTTCCTTTCACTCGCTGTCCATACACCCAAGGACACGAGCGCGGCAGTGGGACGCGTGAGTGCGTCCTTCCAGCCCGCAAACGTAGGCAGGGAAACATACAGGCATCAAGACTTGACTGGAAAGAGCGCCTTTTAAGTCACTCAGTCGTTACCCTTCGGAGGGGGAGGGCAGGAGCGGGGCGGAGTGAGATGAAATTCCTGGAGCCAAGCTGCTCTGGGAATGAAATGAGCCAGACCGGCGGCCCGGGGTGGGCCGGTTAGCTGAGGAGCGGGGGGCCGGCTGCAAGGGCTGCGCTGCGCGCCAAGTTCAGGTGCGAGAGCGCGCTCCCGGAGGGTGGGCTTGGGATTTCCCCGCACCGCCCCGTCCGAGTGTTCAAGTCAAATGCGAGGTTATGGTGACTCTTGAGAGAGCCTTATGGAAATGGTGGTGAGCCCAGAAAAGGCATGACACGTCCATTCTCCAGGTTTTTGAAGAGTAAAACAGGAAAGCACCATGATCCCGCCTATTATGCCGAGGAATCCGCGAGTCTTCCAGACCCACCCCTGCAGCACTGATGCAAAGAGGACAAGTCGTCGACGTAGGGACGGGGAAAAAAAAACCAACCCCCAGGGGGTGGGGGGAGGAGGAAAAGGAGGTGGGGAGAGTAGGCACCGAGCAGTTTCCAGCCACTGGGGCGAGAGGGAAACCGTTCTGGGGAAACAAACCCCACATAAATAATTGAGTTCGGAGCCCAGTGATTTCAGAGGCTCGGAGCGCAACTCCCCAGGTTCGCCCAGGACAGGACAGAGCCGGCAAAGGGGCCGGCGACTGGACAGAGCAGCTCAGTTGGCGGGTGGGACGCTGCGCCCGGGGAAGCCCGCAGAAGCGGGAAGGAGAGCGAGCATCCGGCAAGGGGCCCGCAGCAGCCGAGGCGGGAGGGAGCGGGCTTCGGAGGACGCCGTGCGCGCGCTGCATGGATCGCGTGCGTCTCTCCGTAGGACCCCGCGCGGGGCCGGAGGGCAACTCCAGCCCATGGTGGCCTCTGACCGTCAGCGGTGTCAACACCAGCCGGGAAGCGGAGGCGCCCGGGGAAGGCGGCGGCCCGCAGGAGGACGTGCGCAACGAAGGGGTGGCCAAACTAGAGATCGCCGTCCTGACCGTGACCTTCGTGGCGACAGTGCTGGGTAACAGCAGCGTGCTGCTGGCACTGCACCGCACGCCTCGCAAGACGTCGCGCATGCACCTCTTCATCCGCCACCTCAGCCTGGCCGACCTGGCCGTCGCTTTCTTCCAGGTACTGCCGCAGCTGTGCTGGGACATCACCTATCGTTTCCGCGGACCCGACGGGCTGTGCCGCGTCGTGAAGCACCTGCAGGTGTTCGCCATGTTCGTGTCGGCCTACATGCTGGTGGTCATGACCGTCGATCGCTACATCGCTGTGTGCCACCCGCTGAAGACCCTGCAGCAGCCGACGCGCCGTTCGCGCCTCATGATAGCTGCCGCCTGGGTGCTGAGCTTCGTGCTGAGCGTGCCGCAGTACCTGGTCTTCTCCATGGTGGAGGTGAACAACGTCACCAAAGCCAACGACTGCTGGGCCACCTTCATCCAGCCCTGGGGTCCCCGTGCCTACGTGACCTGGATGACCGGCAGCATTTTCGTGGCGCCCATGGTCATTCTGGGAACCTGCTACGGCTTCATCTGTTACCACATCTGGCGCAACGTCCGCAGAAAGACCGTGTCGCGCCAGAACGAGGGCGCCGACGGCGCGGGGGACGCCTTCCGCAAGGGCATCCTTCGTGCCCCGTGCATCAGCAGCGTGAAGACCGTTTCCCGGGCCAAGATCCGCACAGTGAAGATGACTTTCGTGATCGTGACGGTTTACATAGTTTGCTGGGCGCCCTTCTCCGTCATCCAGATGTGGTCTGTCTGGGATGAGAACTTCAACTGGGTCGGTAGGTGCCGGGACAGACAGTGGAAGAAGGTGCAGGGATGGGGCTGTGTGTGTGTGTGAGAGAGAGAGAGAGAGAGAGAGGGAGGGAGAGAGAGAGAGAGAAACAGAGAGGCAGACAGACAGAGACAGAGAGAGAGGACAGATGACAGAGGAGGGAGAAGGGAGAGAGGTTCTTTTCATAAATAAGTTCTTAAACTTCTGCGTGCATAAGAATCATACTTTGGGTGAATATATCAGAAAGGCAAACTCCTGGGGGCTCCACCTCAGACATGTTGGTGCAGTAGACCTGGAATGGGCCCCAGGAATCTGCATTTGTAGCGCACAATGCTCCTAAAACCGCAAATCCAGAAACGGCGCTCTAGCATCAGCCACACGACAAAACAGGATAATTACCTTTTTTCCACATCATTAACCACTGTGTTAATACTCCGCTCTCAACATTCAAGTCTTTTGGATTCAGGGAGATATTTCTACTGAAAGAATTACTTTTTGCTAGTTTGTGAAAAGTATCACAATTAATAGAAAATTTTTGTAGAAATACCCCAAGGACAAGGGTAAAATGGACATATTTTTCTGAAGACAGATACTTAAGAAGTCAATTCTGATTTGCATTTAGCTAGTATCCCATTTATCATAATCCTTTAATTTTTTTCTAACAATTACTTTAACACTTTTTCCCCCCCTGGTATTTTAAAGCAGGATTATTGATAAACTCTAAATATATTAGAGTAATTCATTGGTCTTTCAGCACTAATTTGACCTGACAGCTATATACCTCTCTACATAACCCTTCCAGTAGTTTATTGAAAACACCTACTAGCTTGTTTGATTTTAATTCCTTCACAAACTAGAAAACTAACTTCATAAGAATTTACCCCCCAAGAAAGCATTATTTAATATTGTGTCTTTAACAATTTCTTTTTGATAAGAAAAAAACTTTTTCAAATCAAATATATTACAGGAATATCACCAACAACAACTGTAATTGGGGACTAGGTATCTGGGAACTGTCTCCTTTGATACTTGGGGCTGGAATAGGGAACAGATGTAATATATTTTGGAAGTTATATGTGCAAATAAAACATTTGAAGTGATTTTAATTCAAACAAAAATTCTTGCATGGCTATAATATTACTAATAATGAAAAAACACTGTAACATTGTATTTTTGGTTTGCCATTTCCTGTGTTGCTTGATCTTAGTGACCTCTTAATTATTGCTATTCAAATAAAAAATTCATTCTAATTATTGCTTTCTCAGGATTTAGACACTACTACTAAAAACTTCTTCACTTGTGCATGGGTTTGTTAGTGATTTCCATTCCTTCTGAATACAGTCTTCACCACGGATCATGATTATAATAGTAGCATCTTAGCACTATTAAACAACCTGTAATTTACTGTGTTGTAACAAGAGTGAGAAGACTCAGGTTTATATTTAATAATCAAGGGAAAGTCAGTGCTTGCTGATTTTCTTATCTTTAGTAAAAGTATATTATCAGTGCAGTAGATCTGTGAAAGTTATATTTATGTAGTTTACCATTACAAATTAACATAAAATATTTAAAAACCTGTTGGCATTTCCTAATTCAGCTGTTCTTAATAATATAATTTCATGGTGCAAACCACAACCAAAGATAGTTAACTTTAAAACCCAAAGAAATTTCTAGTTAACCATAGAAAAACAACTAATGATTGCATCCGGCAGAGACCTGTTTCTACTGTCTCCTTCCATATAGTTTTCTTACAAAAATGTTTAATATTTAATAATTTAAAACTACTAAACATGGTCCATAATATCACACATTTTCCTGAGTTACTAAGATGAGCATAATTGGTATGTGTACCTAAAAACTCTTGAAATTTCACTGAAATTACAGCCATTCTATAAGTTCTGTGTCCATTAGCATAAGCTAGTGCTAGTATATGGGATATAAAAATTTTTTTAATAAGTGAATATTCTTAACCTCTTAAAAGTCTACTTTCTTTTACTCATTCTAGTTAAATATCTTAATGGTGGTTTAAACTATATTTCAAGGCATCTTGCTTATGAAACTATTTTCAACCAAGCAACTTCCATTTTTCTGATTGATAAACAAAATATTTCCTTATTAACCCATAACTTTTCCCCCATTTTCATTAGTCAATAGAAAATAAGTTATCCAGTGCTCAGTTACTTGGATTTGACTATTTAAATAATTTTCCCTTATGTTTTCCATAGAGTCAGAAAGCCCGGCAACTACCATCACTGCATTACTGGCTTCCCTGAATAGTTGCTGCAATCCCTGGATATATATGTTTTTTAGTGGCCATCTCCTGCAAGACTGTGTCCAAAGCTTCCCATGCTGTCAAAACACGAAGCAAACATTCAACCAAGAAGATTCTGACAGCCTGAGCAGAAAACAGACTTCTTACACTAACAACCGCAGCCTGACAAACAGTATGGGTGCTTGGAAGGACTCGCCTAAATCTTCCAAGTCCATTAAATTCATTCCTGTTTCAACCTGAACCACACATTTATGCAGCCTGACTCTTGTAATGGACTTTTTGGCCCAACGACTGAAGCTACATGGAAATCATGAATACAAATGAACTTACTTGAGATAAGCGTAAATCAGCTTATTAGGTACAAGACTGTGTTTCTAGTTGCATTTTCACATTGCTGAGACCAAAAGTTATGAACTGTTTTATTGGAATGTTAATAAAAATACACTAAGATCTGCGGGCATACTTCCCAGATATACATCCCAATAGAACAGAAGTTATATTACTAAAGGAAAATTCATAACCACCCTGGCTTTATATTTTGTTGTTGGTTTCTTTTCTTTTTATTTCTGATAAAACTAAAGCTTGACTGGTTTAGAAGCCAAATAATGTAGGGGCATTATTTCCAAACAAAGCAAGATAGATCATCTCTAGTTTTAGCGTTCGAAAGGATTTAGAAGACACTTCGAGAACTGTTTACATCCAATAAAATCACTTTGTGCATCAGAAAATGCCGCCTCAAACAGTGGCTAAGAGACAGGATAGTGCCTTGGAGGGGCATGAGTACCTGAGGCATACGGAAGAGGGGGTGCCCGGTTCAGAGTGCAAAGAGGAACTTTTGTGAAAAGCTATAAATCACCTGTAAATTCCCTCCTATAAGTTCGTCATGTTTTATGGGTTGTGTGCTAAGATGCTGAAGGTTAGAGAAAATGTTGTCAACCAGCCAATATCTTTGTTTTTTCCCACCGAAAGGTAGTTTCAAAGCAGGTTTATATGAGGAATACTCACTTTTATTAGAAGAGTGGAAATACATTAACCAAGGTACTAAATAGACTTTCTCCAGAACATTGTAAACATGTTTTGACCTGAATTATAAGGTGTCCTATGTTAGGCTGGATATTAATGTGATCATTAATTCATGTTTGGGATAGATAAGAGAATCTCCTAAAGAGTGACTCAGGATCTAGAAGGTCCCCTTACATTTAACTAAAAATAACTTGGTCTTTCCTTCCCATCTCCCACCCATATAACAGTTTCATATGAGGAGAAAGACAGGGCTGAGGCAGGATGGTGTTTTGAGATGGAAAGAAAAATGTTCAGCACCTAGTCCAGTTTCCTTTATTATTAAATGCATGACTTTAGGCAAGTTAGTTAAAAACACATGAAGCCTCCATTCCCTTGGCTGTACAATGGAGTTCATAACACCTCACTAGGCTGTTGTCAGGACTAAATGAAATCAAGAGTGTGAAAAGATCATAAACTCTCAAGAGCCATACGAATGCTAGCAGTTGCTTTTATTATAGTCTTGGGGCCTCAAAATTGCACAGCACTTTCCTGTTTACTTTTCATTAACTAGAATTTGTCAGCTTCATGTCTGGGATATAAAATCCTAAAATTTAAATACAGCTCTGCTGATTCACTGGAAAGCATCGCCAGCAGCCATCAAGCCTTTCGCCTAACCAGCATTTTCCAGTTTCAAGACAGAACTTGATTTCCTTTGAATGCAGGTATAGATCAAAGCCAGTGGAAAGCATCAGTTTATTTCATTTCTAAATGTAATTCAGAGATGAATTACAACACTACTTGCTCTTGTTACAGTATTTTTTATTAATGAAACTCTTTGGTTTTTCTCAAGCTATTTTGCCTAGCTCCCTTTTAGAGACCATGCAATGATCTGAGGATACATCATAAACATTTTGCATCACTTGGAGGAAGTTCTTTAAAAAAATTTTTTAAGTTATTTTAATTATTATTATTTATTTTTTATTTAAACTTTGTAGATAAGAAATTGAGGACTAGAGGGCAGTGGGAGAACCTGGAACCATCAACTTCCCTCCTCTTTATTCTATTGCATTTCCAGACTCTCAGGCCTTTTACTCCTGGACTGTTATGCCTAAAAAATGTTTGCAAATATTTTGTAGAGATCAAGCCCTTAGGTTTTTAGAATTCTGATTTTTTAAAATAGTGAATATGTCTCTTAAAGGGCACTACAAGGCACCGTATGCACCATCAAGTATCCGTTCTTCATTGAGTCAGAGCTGCATCTCAGGAACCCTGCCCTCTGTAACACTGCCCTTTTGATAACTTCTCTTTGACAGTTCAAAAATTAAAGCCTTTGGGTTGAAACAAGATGGGCCTATTTTTTTGATAATTCAAATCCCAATAACCCCATGATTTTTGTACAGATTGTTTCAAAATGTTGACATGTACCCCCACATAAAACAATTACGTTTGAATCTTACTCCTAGGAACATCTCTCAAGTAAGGTGCATGTCAACCTATCCAGCTCTGTTTTCTCCTTTTAAATGCATCAGGATACAAGATAGTAGAAAAAGGGTCAGAGAGCTGAGTGCTAGCTCTGCGCTAGGCAAGTATATGGCCTTATTCTCTACAGTTTAGGCTGAGAAGCTTATCTTTCTTAACGTTGTGTACCCAGAAATGGCACTCATTCGTCCCAAAACAAAATTCCAAATTGGAAAAGTCCTACCTGCCTATTTTAGAAGAAAGGAGACTATAGGTGGTAAGGAAGAAGAATGTGCTGGGAAGGGAAGATTTTCCTTCCTTACCCAAAGAGAAGACCAGAGATATTACCCCAAATGAAGGCCCACAGTCAAGGATAAATGTCTTGCATCACCTTCTTTTATTTTGCAGTTATCTCTGTGAACATCCGGTAAGTACATGGTATTAATGTATCTGTGTGGATATGGGGAATATAATAAACAATCCACAGGCAGGGAAAAATGGTGATGGTATTGTTTACTGGGAATTTGATAAATAAAACAGGATGAAAAAGAAACATTTTAAATACATGTTAAGTGCTTAATGAGTTACTATTTGGACATGTGTTTTTACAGTGTAGAAATAATTGTGAATGAAATTAGGGAAATTCTTTGGTTAATTATATACTTGTGCCACATACGGAATTCCCATCACCATCAAACTCTTATGCCATGACTGAGGGAAGGGTGTAGTTTTTAAAGAGGAAAAAACAAGGAGTCTTAATAGCATGAGGTACCCTCCCAAGCTTATTACAGTGCTGAGAATGGACAGCTACTGATGATTAAGAAACAACTTTAATCTGTTACTATGCAAGTAAAGTAATCCAACTAGGTTAAAGTTTCATATTTTTCAGACTCTAAAGCCTATATTTTTATAATGTAATTGGACAGTTGGGGCTTTAAATTACAGTTTCAGAGTTTGACTCTACCATTAAAGCATAACGTGAAGCTGTTAGGGAGAAACTGAGCCAAATCCTTCACCCCAAATATCAAACACTAGGCTCCTTGAAAGCTATGTAAACTAGGTCCTTACAGATTCGATACTAGAGGCAACAGCTGTATTTAGAGTAAGCCAAGGGCAGAGCAGAGCCATCTGGGATGTTAATCCTGGGTGTGCAGGTCTTGAATCATAAGTAACATAGGACAGTAAATATTAGAGAATCATTCTTGATTACAATTTCGCCTCAGCCAATTTGAACAAAAATTTAAGGACTATTGATAACAAGAGTTATTTCCTTTAAGTGTCCAAAACAGCCTAAATGAGTAAATCACATAACTTGCATTACTCCTTTGCACATAATAAGCATTTTAAGAATACACCTATTCTGACTCAATTTTTAGGTACATTAAAATTATTATGAATGAAAAAACATATGTGACCTATAGTAAATCAGTATCAAAAATATATACTATGGCTAAAAATTAGATGTTATTTTTATTTTTTCTTTCCTATATATCTATATATGTGTGTGTGTGTATATATATAATATACACATACATACATGTTTTTTATATTGTATCTTTTTACATTGATTCATATTCTAAATAAAAACAAAGTGTTATACAGTGAATTAAATATTTTCATATTCTACAGTCAAATTAGCAAATCCAGAAAAGGAAATCTGAGACTAAAACCTGATAACAATATCAGAATAATGAAAAAATTATTATTAATATAAAATAATGAGCATTTCCACATATGAAAGTAGTCATATTACTATCACAGAGTTTCTCAGTTAATATATGCTATGATGTGTTAGCTCATTATCATAACAAACTTATTAGGAATTAATGTATATTTTGTATGCCATTTTTGGAACTGCTTTTTCAATTGTTCTATTGGTTATTATGGATAGTTTATTGTGCTATATAGAAGATTAATATGTAATATGTAGAGCTTAAATGCTATACATTTCTTGAGACAAATGTATGGTTCTGGTTTTGATGGATGTTGAGATGTTTGTGATTGTATCTAATATCTGGTCCTTTACAGAAAAGGCTTGTGATAGTATATTGAAATAACTGGTGTATTTATTCCTCAGTTTTACTGTGCATTGGCTTGATTCTATAGATAAATAAAAGTATCAAATTTACTTGAAATAATTATTATAATCTAGTTTAATAATGAAATGTATTTCAAGTTAATTATGTAGATTTTGAGAAAAGAAGTATCTACTTTTATGAATAGGTTTATATCTGAGCACAAAAATGTTCATGTTTGTACTATATTACTGTAGCAAGAACAGGTGAAACTTTGTAACTTCCTTTTTAATAAACTATAATCACGAAAACAAATCATTTTGTTATAGTCCATATTAAAACAAACAAAATCAGATTAACTGAGGTCATGTGTGTCTTCCTACCCTAAAAATGTCATCTCTGTTTATTTCTAGAAGTAAATCTCTAGAAATAAAATAAAAAGATGACGTCAGGCCTCATAGATCAAGACTCTTTCCATTTAAGAGTCTTTAAAATTGGAATTCTTTACCCTGTGGGCTAATAAATTCAAATTATATTAACTTTCAATTTATGCTGTAACATTTCTTTTATGAGTTAAACCCTAATAGCATAGACTAAAAAGCTTATTTTGGATTTGGCTTAAACTCTTGAAGCAGTAAATGCCCAGAATGGAAGAAAGGGAATTTGAAGTCTCTATTTTAAAATACTGTTATTTTAAAACTCACTGTTATTTTTAAAGACTTATACATGCTTAATAATAAATGGATTTCTACCAAAGCATGACTTCACAAGGTCCTACAAATCAGATTATTCTCAAATAATAGTGGCATTATATACCAGGAAAGACTCATAAGAAATGTGCTGGTGTAGAATTTATTCATTCATTCATTCTCTATCTTTATCCCTTCTTAATATCTAGAGTTGTGTTTCTTCCCTTCTGCCTCCCAAATGCCCTCTACATGACTTCCCTTTGACACATATCAAAATGATTTACAACGTTAGTTAACTGCTCTGTCTTCTCCGTGATTATCATGTTTACCTTTAGAAGGTCTGCCCTTTCCATCTTTGCATCTTCATATAGTAGGTGCTGTTGATAGTAGCTGCTTAATTAATGGAATTAATGCAGATACTCCAAATGTGGTATAAACAGTAATCCAAATGTTAAACATCATGAGTGTTTAAAAGTGAGAAGCTTTAATTATAAGAAAAAGCAGAGTACAGAGAAAAGAAATACCATACCAGGGAATCAGGAGCCCCAGGTTTTCCACCACCGATAGCTAAATGATCTTGGGAGGGTCACTTTAATGAATCTGGGGAGCCTAAGTAATATCATCTTGGTTGAAAAAAATGAATTTACACATTCAAATTCAAAATAATCTTAAAAGAAAGTCTTTGTCACCACTACAGTCATAGGTATTTGTCCCTACTGCAGGAGCAGAAGATATATGGGAATTCTTTGTACTGTCCACTCAATCTTGCTGTGAATACAGAACTGCTCTCAAAAAATAAAGTCTATTAAATACACACATATATTTCACATTAGGTGATACAATTGGTTTATGCTTGGCTTCTATGGAAAAGAAATTTAGCAGAACTTAAATCAAAGTGTTTGTTTATCCTCCTCCCCAAATACCAGGTCCCATGGTTTCCCAAAGTATCCACGTTTGACTGCAAGCACATCCCACAAACTTGTGTTGCCTAAGTATCTGCTGTCTTGACGGATGCTTCAATCTGTTAGTTCTCTGTGCTCATCGTTTCTTTAATACCCCAACCCCCAAAAGACCTATTAGTCTTATCTCATGCAATATGCAAAGTCTGTGCCTCTCTGGAGATCAAAGCAGCATCCTGAAGATTTTTATGGGCTCCTGCTTCCGTTAACTCTCCATGAACAGCTCACTAGTTCACACTCATGGCTGCCTTATGTGATGATGTTCCCTGAAGAATGGAAGCTCACGTGGGGGCTTATGCTTCAGAAGGGACAATGATTCCTATGTGCTGTCCTAAAGGCCCACGACTATCCCTTCCAGGTGGATTAGTCTCTCATCACTCTTCCCCTTAGGACCTTGCTGGCTGCCACCTTGGCCAAGCCTCCTCTCTCTACCAAGACCCTAAACCCTTGTTTATCCCACTGCCAGAAACTAATATTTCTTCCACCTTATTTTGTAGAAGTATTTGCTTGTGTTTGTCTAACACACTCTCACTTAGACTACACCTTTCACAATAGCACATAGTGTTTAAGGTGTTTTCTCAAGCAAAAGACCCATTCTCATCCCCCCAAAGGAATGTTGTTTTTCCTAAAGAGTTCAGACTGCACTGAGCTTCTAAAATAACTTATTTTTCTTCATTTCTCTTATACTAGTTGTGAAACACATATAGGGTATCTAAATAATTTAGATTTGCCCTTCGTTTAACTTATGCACAATTGATGTTTCTTTATGTTGGATTACCCTCTATTCCCATAGGTGCACAGTTACAAGATCATCTCTTAGAGGGAAGCCAATCTGGTGACTGGGTTTCTCTGTTGCTTTTGGATTATTGCATGTATTTTTGTTCAAGTTCGAATTGTGCAACATTCCTTTCCATAGCAGCTAAGCATAAAGCAAAGGTATCACCTAATGTGAAATGTGTGTGTGTTTAATAGACTTTATTTTTTGAGAGTTTTATATTCACAGCAAAATTGAGTGGATGGTACAGAGATTTCCCATACATCCTCTGCTCCTACACATACACAGCCTCACCCATTATCAACATTCCCCACCAGAGTGGTACCTTGGTGACAATCCATGCACCTACACAGACACATCATTACCACCTAGAGTCTACAGTAAATATTAGAATTCACTCTTGGTGGGGTACAAATGTATAATGAACTGTGTCCACCATTACAGTATCTCACAGACTAGTTTCACTGACCGAAAAACTCTCTGTGCTCTGCTTATTCATGCCTCTTCTACTGCAACACCTGGAAACCACTGATCTTTTTACTGTCTCTATAGTTTTGTGTGGCATAGTTTAATATTCTCTGTGTCCTTAATGCCCTGGCCTAGATCTTTGCTCCAGCTTAGCTACTTACTACTTTACTGTAAAACATATAAAACAAGTTTAAAAAACCACTGAGATATGTTAAAGCCAATGGAAACATAAGAAAAAAAGTTCTGTCACACTTAGCCTTTCACCTGGGCCCAGACATTTGTCATAAACTCTGCTAGGAGCATTTATACCCCTTCTTCTTTCTCCTTGCCCTCTTTACACCAACTTTAAAGCATTCTCTATTTACCTGTCTCCACTTTTCAGCTGTGGCTCAACTTTTAGGCAATTGCACCAAATTATTCAAAGGAACAGGGTTCTTCTGCATCTGTGGAATGTGAGCAATGCATCTTGCTCCTCGGGTCCTATAGCCTGTCAATGAGAAATTCAGGGCCCAGAACATGCAAAAAATGTTTACTCTTTAGGAGCTCTTAAAGGCAAAAGAACAATGTATAATCAGTGAGAGACTTTGGAAAACCCATAGAATTCAAAGACTGTATTTGGAGGTAACAAAGAGCTTGAATAAGATTCTTACCCCTCTAAAAAAAAAAAACAAAAAAAAAAAACATGTTAACACTTTGAGGGCATTCTAACTGAAGATTATCCTTCATTGCTTCATTCTGTAGCAACAGCATTTACTTCTGCATACAAATACCCTTGACCTGAAACAGTGCAGGTAAATGGTTAAGCTGTTTGGGATGAGAACAGGGCCCCTAATGAGAAAGATATAAGAGGAAAATCTGCCCTTTGCAATTTTTTGTAAATGTGCATAGATGTCTTTTTTTCAGCATTTCTATTAAAATTAAAATTTACCTGGTAAAAATTCTGAAGAAAGTTCAATAAGATGGTTACAGTTTAGATGACTATAAAATCAGCCCCTAGTGATTTTTAAAAAAAATGCCCTCCTTACCAAAACAGAACTGGTAATTTCTTTAAGCAAATACATAAACTATTCAATAAAGACAGGGGACTTTAATCTGTAATATATAGAGAAATCTTTAAGATACAGTCAATGGGCAATTACATATACAGTGTGGGAGTGAATGTTTCGAGCAGGTGAATAAAGTATAATTCTGTGTCAAACATGGGCTAAGCATGTCAGAGTTAATTTGTTCCAGATCATTCACTGCATTTCCTGTTTTCAGTCTGGGAGTATGAGTCTCTGATTTCCACGGCCAGCACTGACATTCCAGGAGATATTAAAAGTTTGGGAGGTCTGGAAACTAAAATATTAATATGATTTATATCTTCA